GAGTGTGCCTAAAGGCTGCAGGCTAAAGAGTTGAGGAAGGAAGAGAGAGGAGCATGACTGGCATACAAGGGAAGTAGGGCAGAAAAGGAAATGGTAGAAGGTGAGGTTAGGCACCTGTTGGCTGTTCAACCATAAAACCTCCTTGTTATACGATAAACTGCATTTATTCCTCAGTCCCACATCCGTGAACCTGCTGGTGGCTCAGCAGTAAAGAAGCAACCTGCAATGGAGAAGACCCGAGTTCGATCCCTAGGTCTGGAAATTCCCCTGGAGAAGATGGCAACCCACTCCTGTATTCTTGCCTGGGAAATACCATGGACAGAGGAGCCTGGTGGGCTACAGTCCATGGGGTTGCAAAGAGTCAGACATGACTGAGCAGCTTCCGCTTTCCCACATCCATGGGTTGACTCGATTTGGCTCCAGGCCATGGGCTGGGCTGAGGTCTTCTCTGTTTCACAATTATCTTGCATCACCCAGGTCAGAGAACAACTCATTATCATATATATTGCAAAATATTTCAAAACCAGAATCTTCTCTTTCAATTGTATGAGGAAAAGAACAAGCCCGAAGTTTCGTGACCTTGGACAGCTCTCGTATTTGGTTAGCTCACATGTAAAATGGGATGGCAAATAAAGCCCCATCTTTCAGAGAAGATAGAGATAACAACTGAGAAACCTGAGAGGCCTGCTAGGTTTACACATCTACTAGTAGTGGGTGTGTTGCAGGACAGTGGGGTGCAAGAGGATGATCATGTGTCCCAGTCTCCAGCAGCCAAGTGAAAGTCCTTGGCTTTGCACAAGAAAGAATCCAAGAACTGGCCACAGTATAGGGCAAGCAGGTTTATTTAGAGAGGGACAGATTCCACAGGCAGAATGTGGGCCATCTGAGAAGACCCTGATACAAAGGGTGGTTAGCTTAGTTCTGTTTCTTTATAATTTTACATATGTATTTGTGGCTGTGCTGAGTCTTCATCACTGCACAGGCTTTTCCAGTTGCAGCAAGCGGGAGATACTCTCCAGTTGCAGTGTGTGGGGTTCTCATTGTGGGGGCTTCTCTTGTGGAGCACGGGCTCTAGGGCCCGTGGCTTCAGCAGTTGCAGCACGTGGGCTCCATAGCTGTGACTCCTGGGCTCAGGAGCGTTGGCTCCGTAGTTGTGGCGCAGGGGCTGAGTTGCTCCATGTCATGTGGGATCTTGCTGGATCAGGGACTGAACCCTTGTCTTCTGCATTGGCAGGCAAATTCTTTATCACTGGGCCACAAGGGTGGTTAGTTTTTATGGGCGGGGTAGTTTCATACACTATCAAGTGGGAGGGATATTCTAACTATTCTGGAGACGGGGAGGGGATTTCCACCGCCCACTTTTTGACCTTTTGTGGGCTGCCTTTTATGCACTGGCATGGTGCCTGTGGGCGTGCCATTTCGCTCACGCTGTGAGTGCACACGCAGATTACAGGGACTTCCCTAGTGGCTCCGTGGGAAAGAATCTGCTGCCAGTGTAGGAGACAGTTTGATCCCTGGGTCAGGAAGACCCCCTGGAGGAGGGAATGGCAATCCACTCCAGTATTCTGGCCTGGGAAATCCCATGGACAGAGGAAGCTGGGGGGCTACAGCACATGGGGGTCACAAAAGAGCTGGACACGATTCAGTGACTAAACAACAACAACAGAAGGCAACAACATGTATAACATGAGTGTATAAGGAGGTTCAAGGTCTACTGGAAGTTGAATTTCCTGCTGTGTCAGGTCTAGTAAGTTTTAACCAGTTTCTCTTGTATCCTTAATGGCTAATGGTTGTGCACTGCCCCCTTCCCTCCTTTCTCACTCTCAGACCTGAACATTTAAGTCTTTAATCCATTTTGAGTTTATAGGGTATGAGAAAGTAGTCCGGTATAATTCTTTGGCCTATAGCTCCATGGGACTCAGCAGTGTGTTCCTCTGGTCATTAGAACTGTATGCCTCAGTGAAAAGTGCAAGTCACTCAGTTGTGTCTGGCTCTTTGTGACTCCATGGACTGTAGACCACCAAGCTCCTCTGCCCATGGAATTCTCCAGGCAAGAATACTGGAGTGGGTTGCTATTTCCTTCTCCAGGGGAACCTCCCAAGGATTGAACTCGGGTCTCCTGTATTGCAGGCAGATTCGTTACCATCTGAACCACCAGGGAGCTCTTGTAGCTCCCAGTGAGCTGGGCACACCCTCCTGTTGTGGTGGGGTTGACTACTGCGGGCTCTCTGGTAGGTGGGGCTGACCCTCAACCTGATTGGCTGCAAGGTCATGCTTTCTGCAATGGATATGGGCTTTCTGGAGCCTGGGGTAGCCTACTCTTGAGGCTGTCTGTGTGGCTCAGAGTTCCTGGGCAGCTTCTGCTGCTGAGGGTGGGGCCAGGTGCCTGCTGCTAATGGTGCTAATGGTCTGGCTGGAGGATTACAAAATGGCACTTGCCACACCAGTGTTATTGTGGAAGAACGAGCTCCCCAAAATGACTGTCACCAATGTCTCTTTTCCCAGGGGGTGTTCCAGTTACCTCCTGCCTCTCCCAGAGGCCCTCCAAGATCAGCCAATGGGTCTGACCCAGGCTCTTTTCAAACTACTGTTCTGTGCTGGGGTTTGTGAGATTTTTGTGCACATTCTGGTTTTTTTTTTTTTTTAGGAGTAATTAATCACCTCGCTGTTTGCTTTTTAATGGTACATGCTCATTACAAAAAAAAAAAAACAAACAAACATAAAAAAGCAGAAAATGACTCCAGATCTTACCACTCAGAAGTAACAAGTATTAATATTCAACGAACATTATTTTAGACATGTGCATGTATATAGATAAACAGGTTGGAGAGAAGTGCCCTCAATGAAGATCCTTCCACAGTTAGTACATACTTTAAAAAAATTATTTATTTATTTGGCTGAACTGGGTCTTAGTTGAGGCACGTGGGAACTTTGATCTTCATTACAGTCTGTGGGATCTTTAGCTGTGGCATGCGAACTCCAGCTGAGGCACGTGGGGTCTAGTTCTCTGACCAGGGATTGAACTTGGCCCCCTGCATTGGGAGCCGCTGGACCACCAGGGAAGTCCCTTCCCACCCTCTGAAGAGCAAAGTCTCTCTTTCCTATAGCTCTCGACCTCCTCCCCAACATAAAGCCCTGCTGTTTTTCAAAGCCAGATATTCTGGAGGCTCATTTTCCTGCATTTCCTAGCTCAACTTTTGGGCTAGGGAGCCCAGAGTGGGGTGAGGGCCCTCGTGCTTCTGGGAGAGGCCCTCTATGATTGTGATATTTCTGGTGAGTTGCCCACCCAGGTGTGTGGGTCCTGACTGTATTGCATCTCCATTCCTCTTACCTGTCTCATTGTGAGTCCTTCTTGATGTCTTTAGTTGTAAAAAAAAATCTTTTCTGATAGTAGTTAGGTCATTCAAATAGATAGCTGCTCTGTAAGTAGTTGCAATTCTCGTGGGTCCTTGGTAAGAGGTGAGTTCAGGGTCTTCCTACTCCACAATCTTAGCTACCTCCTCATAATTTAAAAAATTTTAAAAAATTTTTAATTTTTTCCATTTATTTATATTAGTTGGAGGCTAATTACTTTACAATATTATAGTGGTTTTTGCCATACACTGATATGAATCAGCCATGGATTTACATGTGTTCCCCATCCTGAACCCCCCTCCCACCTCTCTCCCCATCCCATCCCTCTGGGTCATCCTAGTGCGCCAGCCCTGAGCACTTGTCTCATGCATCAAATCGGGACTGGCGATCTGTTTCATAATTGATAACATACATGTTTCAATGCTATTCTCTCGGATCATCCCACCCTCGCCTTCTCCCACAGAGTCCCAAAGTCTGTTCTCTACATCTGTGACTCTTTTTCTGTCTTGCATATAGGGTTATTGTTACCATCTTTCTAAATTCCATATATATGTGTTAGTATACTGTATTGGTGTTTTTCTTTCTGGCTTACTTCACTGTGTATAACGGGCTCCAGTTTCATCCACCTCATTAGAACTGATTCAAATGTATTCTTTTTAATGGCTGAATAATATAGAAATATGGAACGCTTCACGAATTTGCGTGTCATCCTTATGCAGGGGCCATGCTAATCTTCTCTGTATTGTTCCAATTTTAGTATATGTGCTGCCAAAGCGAGCACACAATTTTTTTTAACTTAAAAAAAGTATGTATGTTGTGTATATCATATAGCTTAATACTTAGAAAAACAAATAGAAGCTGTACTCCCAATTGCCAGCTGCAATTAGTGGGAATAGGAAATGAGGTGGGATACTTTTTTATATGTGGATTTCCCTGGTGGTTCAGACAGTAAAGCGTCTGTCTATTAATGCAGGAGACCTGGGTTCGATCCCTGGGTCAGGAAGATTCCCTAGAGAAGGAAATGGCAACCTACTCCAGTACTCTTGCCTAGAAAATCCCATGGATGGAGGACCCTGTGCAGGCTACTGTCCACGGGGTCGCAAAGAGTTGGACACGACTGAGCAATTTCACTTTGTTACTTTCTTATATACTTCTGTGAGCTTTTGAAACTAAAAAAACATATCAAAACTATATTTTTCAATCACTTGTTTCAAAATGACTGGTTTAGTTTGTTTTGTTTGTTTGTTTACAGAAGGTCTCATGAAATGTATGTTCTCTTATAAAGCAGGTGATAGAGTAGAAAAGAGCCCTGGGTGTTTAGAGAAGATCTCGTGGTTCTAGAAACAGACCTGCTGCACCAGAAAAGTTCTTAGGCAAGAAGTTCATCTCAAAGGGTTGAACTTCTTGAGAGCTGAATAAGTAGTGGAAACTCATGCTGAAACATGAGAGTGCTAGTGTGATGTTTGAATGGATAATGTGAAGTCACTTTGAATGTGATAATGCAGTACTGAAGCATGTACATGTTAATGCTTATATCTTATGGTAATATTATGTTTCAGTAAAGTTTTACTTTTTTGGAAACCTCCTAGTTTCTAACGTCAAAGGCTTTTCTTTTTTATCATGGCACTATTTCTTTTTTAACCTAGAACTGAACACCTTCTCAACTGAACTTAAAGGAGAAATTAAGTGCAATATTTGGAATTACATTTAAATGAAGATGAGGTAGAAGACAGAACTGTTACAAGTATGTAAGTTTTATTGTACAGACAAATGAAGGCTTCAGCTCTGTTGTATTCTTAAAAATTCCTAGCTTCTATGTAATTCTCTAATTATAGAACTTTATTTCATTATGTTGAACTAGTCCTGATTTCACCATGAAAATCTGACCTGAAACTCTGTTTACAGAAATATTGAATATGAATTTAAAATTAAATGTTGACTATTGGTATATTAAGAGATACAATTTGGTTGATTCATATTTTTTCCATGTTAAAGATTATTCTGAGCTCTAAATATTTTAAATAAATGAGACTGAAATCCAATGTGGTTGTGTCTGACTATGTTATCTGTGTAACAACCAAATATTTCTAAAGACTGTTCTTCATTAAACTTATTTTAAATGCTTTAATTGGAGTATAATTGATTTACAATGTTGTGTTAGTTTCAGATGTACAGCAAAGTGATTCAGTTGCACATATATTAATAGATATATTAATTCTTTTTTAGATTCTTTTCTCCTATCAGTTATTACAGAATATTAAGTAGAGTTTCCTGTGCAGTACAGTAGGTCCTTGTTGGTTATCTATCTTATACATAGTAGTGTGTGTTCATCCCAAGTTCGTGATTTATTCCCTTCACCGCCCCCCACGTTTCTCCTGTGGTAACCGCAAATTTGTTCTCCATATCTGTAATTCTGTTTCTGCTTTGTAAATAAGTTCATTTGTAACTTTATTTTTAAAATTAGATTCCACATATGAAGGGAGAAGGAAATGGCAACCCACTCCAATATTCTTGCCTAGAGAATCCCATGAACAGTCTACGGCCATACCACCCTGAACGCACCCGATCTCGTCTGATCTCGGAAGCTAAGCAGGGTCGGGCCTGGTTAGTACTTGGATGGGAGAATCCCATGAACAGAAGAGCCTGGTCAGCTGGAGTCCATGGGGTCACAAAGAGTCGGACACAACTGAGTGACTAACACATGTCCACATATGAGTGATATATTTGTCTTTCTCTGGCTTCACTTAGTATGATAATGTCTAGGGTCTAGGTCCATCCATATCACTGCAAATGGCATTATTTCATTCTTTTTTATGGCTGAGTAATATTCCATTGTATGCTTGTACCACATATTCTTCACGCATTCCTCTGATGATAGACATTTAGGTTGCTTTCATGTCTTTGCTATTGTAAATAATGCTACAATGACTATTGGGTGTGTGCATGCTCAGTTGTGTCTAACTCTTTGTGACTCCATGGACTGTAGCCTGCCAGGCTCCTCTTATCCATGGGATTTTTCAGGCAAGAATATTGGAGTGGGTTGGTATTTCCTCCTCCAGCAATGAACACTGGGGTGCATGTATCCTTTTGGATTATGGTTTTCTCAGCTACAGGTTTTAAATTGAAATTTCAGTTCTACACTTAGTTTCTATATGCCCATTAGGGAAGTTACTTAAATGTTTTAAGCCTCCCTTTCCTCATCTTTAAAATAAGGATAAGAGTAGTGCCAGCCTCACCTAACACTTAGTATCTGTGCACCATTCGCTGCTTAAGCAGTATTTCCCCATTTTACAGACGTAGAATTCGAATGCTTAGTAGTTTAATCCACCCAAGATCACTCAGCTAGTAAGAGGTAGAAGTGGGATCTTGTCCCGAATATCCCAGACACTGGAGCCCAAAGTTTTATAGTATTGCTTCCTCTTTGGAGAGCTTTTAATGATTTCATATGCTTGGAGGTATGGCTCTACCAATCTCGGGGAACTGTGGTCTACATTAAATTTGAGCACAGAATACTGCTGAACAGGAGTAGACCACCACAGGTTCCTGTATATATTAGTGTTTTTAGTGGTTCACAAAGTTTATCCAGGGGCAAATAATTGTTGTTCAGTCCCAAAAGGGTATAGTCGTCTGAACTAGAAAGGGGTTAACTCTGGTGTGTACCACTTCGCTCTGTGAAGTCTCTAGTTTTTACTCTTAGTCAATAGAATAATTAATATTCCTTAAAGGAAGTTGAAGTGATCAGAATAAATGTGTGCATTGTTAATAAAAATTGTTCCTGTTAACTGCGTGGGTCATGCCCAGATTTTACAGAGAAAGAATGGATACCAAAATGAGGTGGTTTCTATTTTTTATATTCCTCGAATTAAAATAACATACTTAATATGATTTCTGACAGCAATGGAAAGTATGTCTCTATCGTACCTGTCCTTATTTATTAAAAAAATCCAAAATTTCAAAACTAAAATTATTTTAACTGCCTGTTTAGTTTTATGTCAGGTGCTATGGGAGGTGCTAGAGGGATGTATGTGTGTTCTTCAAAACCACAGCAAAACCATTAACAGGTATTTGTTGCTCTTTCCTCTTCTCTACTCCACTCCACTCTTTGCCAAATTTGTACTTACAATTTTTACCATATAATCAGTTGAAAGTATGCTTAGTGTCTGTTTCTCCTGCTAGCCTATTTTCCTTCCTTCATCATTCATTCATTCAGCAGGTATTTACTGAATACCTCTACTAAGTATCAGGTACTCTTAGATGCACATCTGAAGTGAAAATATGATGTTGAACAAGAAAAGATCACTTCCTCATGAACTTACATTCTACTGGAAAGATGGACAAAAATCAAATAATCAAAGAATCTGAAAACATTAAGTATTATAAGGTTAAAAAATTAGGGTTATGGGATAAATAGTGACAGGACAAAGGATACAAGGCTATGTGGTTTATTTATGTAGGACAAGCAGTGAAAACCAACTCTATATGGTGAGCAAAAGTCTAAATAATGTAAAGGGCTGAGTTTTGGGAAACAGGAGGTAAAAGGTTCCAGGGGGAGGGAATAGGAAGTAGAACTGCTTTGAGACTGGAATGAACTTGATTTATTTGAGAAACTGCAAAAGGTATGGCTGGACTCAAATGAACATAGGAGAGCCTGGTTGATACTGCTGGGGAGGATGAACTAATATTGGAGGGTTTTGCTCTTAATGTGATATAAGGTTTGTGAAGGGATGTAAGCAAAAGAATGATATCTAATTTACTTAAAAGAAATGCTAGTTGCTTCATGGAGAACAAACCCCAAGACAGGCTTCTGGGAGACAAGTTAGGAGAATATTGCCATATTCCAGCTAAGGAATGTATGTCATTTGGATTAGGTCAGTAGTAGCAGAAGTGGGGGAAGTAGTCTGTCAAGTTATATTTTGGAGGTAGAATGAAAAAGACTTGCTGAAGAACTGGATATGGGAATGCAATGGAAAGGGAAAATAAATCAAGGTTGACCCCTAGATTTGGGGCTTTTGAAAGAGGGTGTATAGTGGTGCCTTTAACAAGGGAAGGAAGGTGTTTGTGTATGGTGGGGGTAGAATTCTGTTTTGAACATGGTAAGTTTGAATTGTCTATTTTTATTGTACATCTGGGTGGAGATGTTGAATATGCTGGTGGAGATTATATGTATGTGTGTATTTATATATATGCAGGTGAAAGTGTTAGTCGCTCAGTTGTGTCCGACTCTGCGACCCCATGGACTGTAGCCTTCCATGGAATTCTCCAGGCAGTTCTCCAGGGAATCTTCCCAACCCAGGGATCAAACCCAGGTTTCCTGTATTGTAGGCAGATTCTTTACCATCTGAGCCATCAGGGCAGCCAAGATATATATATATATACTTATATTAATAAATGTCCAGAGACATTTGGAAGTTATCTGCTTACAGCTGATATTTATAAACAAGGGACCATGGACGTTCCCTGGTGGCTTAGTGGTTAGTATTCAGTGCTTTCACCACTGTGGCCCAGGTTCAGGTTGTGCCCCAAGCTGTGAGGCTTATCCAAGATCAAACAAACAAAAACAAATAACCCTCTTCCTCCCTAAAAAAGGAAGGGACTAGATTAAATGTAGAAAAGTAAAGAAAGCTGGGAGCTGAGCCCAAGGGCATTGCATCATTTAGAGAGCAGCAAGAGCAAGGGAACAAGCGTCTTTTAAATTCATGGCTGCAGTCACTGTCCGCAGTGATTTTGGAGCCCAAGAAAATAAAATCTGTCACTGCTTCCACTCTTTCCCCTTCAAGTTTCCATGAAGTGATGGGACTGAATGCCGTGATCTTAGTTTTTAAATGTTGAGTTTTAAGCCAGCTTTTTCACTCTCTTCTTTGACCCTCACCAGGAGTCTTTAGTTCCTCTTCGCTTTCTGCCGGAAGAGTGGTGTTATCTGCATATCTGAGGTTACTGATATTTCTCCCGGCAGTCTTCCAGCTTGTGATTTATCCAGCCTGGCATTTCAAATGATGTACTCTGAATATATATATACTTTGCTTTAGTTAAATTAGCTGGGTGACAGTATACAGCTTTGACATACTCCTTTCCCAATTTTGAACCAGTATATTGTCCCATGTCCGGTTCTAACTGTTGCTTCTTGTCCTGCATACAAGTTTCTTAGGTGACAGGTACGGTGATCTGGTATTCCCATCTCTTTAAGAATTTTCCACTGTTTGTTGTGATCCACACAGTCAAAGGCTTTAGTGTGGTCAATAAAGCAGAAGTAGATGTTTTTTTCTGGAATTCCCTTGCTTTCTCTATGATCTAAAGAATGTTGGCAATTTGATCTCTGGTTCCTCTGCCTTTTCTAAACCCAGCTTGTTTATATGGAATTTCTCAATTCAAGTACTGCTGAAGCCAAGATTGAAGGATTTGGAGCATAACCTTACTGGCATGTGAAATGAGTGCAACTGTATGGGAGTTTGAACTTTCTTTGGCATTGCTCTTCTTTTGGATTGGAATGAAGACTTTTTCCAGTCCTGTGGCCACTGCTGAGTTTTCCAAATTTGCTGACACATTGAGTGCAGCACTTTAATAGCATCATCTTTTAGGATTTTATACAGTACTACTGGAATTCTATCACCTCCACCTGCTTTGTTCTTAGTAATGCTTCCTAAGGCCCACTTGAGTTTATACCACAAGATGTCTGGCTCTAGGTGAGTGACCACACAATCATGGTTTTTTGGGTCATTAAGACCTTTTTTACAGTTCTTTTGTATATTCCTGCCACCTCATCTTAATTTCTTCTGCTTCTGTTAGGCCTTTTTGTTTCTGTCCTTTATTGTGTCCACCCTTGCATGAAATCCTTGATATCTCCAATTTTCTTGAAGAGATCTCTGCGTGCACATGTGCTAAGTCGATTCAGTTGTGTCCAACTATTTGCAACCCCATGGACTATAGCCTACCAGGTTTCTCTGTCCATGGGATTCTCTAGGCAAGAATACTGGAGTGGGTTGCCATTTCCTCCTCCAAGGGATCTTCCCAACCCAGGGGTCAAACCTGAGTCTCCCTTGGCTCCTGCATTGCAGGCAGATTCTTCACCGCTGAGTCACCAGAGAAGCTCCAAGAGATCTCTAGTCTTTCCCATTCTACTGTTTTCCTTTATTTCTTTGCATTGTTCATTTAAGAAGACCTACTTATCTCTTCTTGCAATTTTCTAGAACTCTGCATTCAGTTGGGTATATCTGTGTAAGTTATGACAAACCTAGTCATCATATTAAAAAGCAGAGATATCACTTTGCCTATAAAGGTCCATATAGTCAAAGCTATGGTTTTTCCAGTAGTCATGTACGGATGTGAGAGTTGGACTGCAAAGAATGCTGAGCGCTGAAGAATTGATGCTTTTGAACTGTGGTGCTAGAGAAAACTCTTGAGAGTCCCTTGGACTGCAAAGAGATCAAACCGGTCAATCCTGAACACTAGACTGCCGGGGAATTCCCAGAATAGTGTTGAATGAATGAATCTTTACCTCTACTTATCTGTTAGATAATTGAGTATCTCTAAGTTCCAGGTACTGTTCTATGTTCTATAGATTCGTAGTATAGTATTCCCAATAATCATAAATTGTACTGTGAGTTATATATGCATAAAATATATACATATATATAAATGCAGCAAGATATGTATTTTTAGCTTATATAACTCTCTTCCCCTCCTTCTACACTATTTCTAAGAAGGATGGAATTGAATATGTGGAAGGCCCTTTGTTACTGAGCAATGATGATTGTGATATATAAATCTGGGGCTATTCTGTAGGTAAAGGTTTTGACAAGAGAGAAATAGGAGAAAGGTGAGGTAGAAAGAGAGAGTGGTGAGACTTCAGTTGAATTGGACAGGCATCTCCAACCAAAGTTATTAGATTCATTTAAAATAAAATATGATGCCAGCTTAACTCACACTCTGTTGGGCAATTGACAGTTTATGAAGAACAGTAATTAATCCTGTAAGAGGGAGTGGAGAAATAATATATAATCCAGTACAAGATTATATCTAATTAATCATACAAGAGGAGGATGGAGGAGGTTTTGTAGGGAGCGATAAGTTTCCTCAATATTACAAAATTATGACTTTAGCTTCAGGATGTTGAACTGTTGACATTTAGAATTATTACACTTAAGTCCCTGCTTTTTAAGAAACTCTCAAGTCTTCAATCAGCAGCCCCTACTGGTTAAGAGATATAACAGACGTGGATTCAATCCCTTGGTCAGGAAGATTTGAAGGAGGGCATGGCAACCCACTCCAGTATTCTTGCCTGGAGAATCCCATGGACAGAGGAGTCTGGAGGGCTACAATATATAGGGTCCGAAAGAGTCAGACGCGACTGAAGGGACTTAGCACGCACTGGATCAGAAAAAACTTCGGGTATCTTATATGATTTTTCAAATCCCTGCCAGAAAAGGAAACAAAAATGCGTGTGAATCACTGGACAGCATCACACAATTTCTTAAACTTTGTGGTTCTACTCCGTAACTTCACCGAGGTGGTTTTCGTACCCCTCCTTGGACTATCATGCCATTGTGTATTATAATCATTCGACTCCATGACGTTTATTTGCCTTGAACTTCATCCAGGACTCTGGGAACTTTGTGATTTAATGCTGGGCGCGGGACCGAGGCCTGGCATTTAGAAGGCCCTTCACATTCGGATGTGTAACCGCAGCGAAGCTGTGCTGTGCGGCCGCACGGAAACGGGAGAGGCAAGCGTTTATTCGGAAAAGCTTCCGGGAACAACGACAGCACATTTGACAATGATACCGAGTTGTTTAATAAAGATGTGAAAATAAAACAACGGCTCCGCGTCAACTTACTACTACAATCTTGTCATTCACGAGCGGCGTCTCTCGTTCCATTCGGTCCTCAAACCCGAGCTCAAACCAGACTGGGTCTGATTGGCCAATCGGAGCACAACCTCCCGTAGTCGCGAGGACTCCTCCAGCCAATGAGAGACGTGGGCGATTTGGTGGGGTGAGAAGTCCTCCCCACCCCCCACGGAAGAATCCTGGGGGCGTGGTGACGCGTTGGGTGAGGCTGAAGTTTGATTGGCAAGTGAGCGATCAGCAGCCTTAGAAAGGATACGCAGTCGAGTGGGAGAAGGGGAGGTCGTGGGCGGGGCAGTGGAGCTAGAGTCAGCCAATGACTGACGCGCTGCTCGTAGAGCGAACGATAGGTCACCAATGGCGGCAAGGATGTGGTTCTGTGGGCGGGGCTTAGGCTCAAAGCGGCGTGGGGGGTGGGGGGTGGTGCGCAGCGCCTATTACGGTCGTCCTCACCGTCACCGCCGGCGCCTCTTCCTGGATTCATTCATTCGATTTTTTTCATTCACGAAGGTAGTGAGGCCTGGTTGAAAGCCATGGAGAGCGTTTTGCCTGCCACCGGTTTCCTGTACTGGGTGGGCGCGGGCACCGTGGCCTACCTGGCCCTGCGTATCTCGTGCTTGCTCTTCACGGCCGTTCGGGTCTGGGGTTTGGGTAACGAGTCGATGGTCGGACCGAGGCTCGGTGAATGGGCAGGTGAGTAGAATCCCGCGCCGCCCACCCCCTGACTCCTGCTGCGGCTCGCGCGGCTCTGGGCCTGGCCTGGTTCGCGCTGACCAGTTCCGGGCCCGGCGCTTGGCCTTCGCGTCCCCAGCTTCCCTCCCTCGTTTTCTGAGGCTCCTGCGTCTTGCGTACCCGCTTTCTCCCATGCCATCGCCTGGTTTGCTTAGACTTGTAGTAGAGTTTTTAAATACTAAACACACTGCTGGCTTAACTCAGCGAATCTAAAGTGCCACTTGGGTGCGGGAGAAATCTGGCCTCAACTCGATGGAGCTTGTGCCATTTAAGCCATTCTGGGTCCAGGGACTTACTTGTCTGGTTGCTTCCAGGAAGCTGGTTGCTTCCTCAGTCACAGGCTACCTCTTCTGAGAGTTTTTGAAACAGAAAGTCTTTGGCTTGGATACAGGCCAAGTGCTCAGGATGAAAAGCATTCTGTTGTCTTTTGGGGGGGCGAGGGTGGAAGAAGGACAAGAATTTCCCAAGTCTTTCTGCTCTTTGGAACCTTGGATTCGGCCTATTTCATATAATTTACAAAGTCTTTTTTTTTTTTTTTTTTTTAAATTCTTGGCTAAACTGTCCTGGAGTCCTAATGACTAGCAAGAATTATTGTTTCTTCAAGATGGTAACTCTTCATGTAGAAGTCAGAAATGCCTTCTGCAGAAGGAGGTTTGCAGGAAAGAGTATTCCCACAGAGAATGGGCTAAACAAACCTAATCATAGTTTTGGGAGTTAGGGTGTCTGGTTTATGATTCCCTGTAGGCAAGAATTCTGAAGATGTAAGGGAAAGGTCAGATTAGAGAAGTTGGGAAAATTCCACAGAAAAGTTTTGCTTTTTTCCATTTCTGCCTTTTTTGTTGATTTTCTTTCCTTTTTTTGTTTCTATTAGCTTTTTTTAAAAAACCAAGTGATATGCCATTCTCCAATTATTCATTCTGCTGTTTTATAATTGATTTTTAAAATTATCATTGGTTTTATATATAATTCACAGAACATTTTGGTCTGGTTAGGGGTTGATTTCAGGCTAGGCTCAAATAAGGTATATAAATAATTTACTCCGTATTCTTAACTTTATTCACTCAGAAACATTTCAACAACTTAGTAGGAAAAACATAAATTAACCTTTTGGAACTGCAACAAAAAACATCTCAAGTAGGAATGAATAAGCATCTATTAACATAATAGATATTTTAAAAACTTACTGTTTTTTCATCATTGAAAAAGCAAGTGAAGTGCTCAACGTTGTTATAATCAAGATTATAATTTCACTGCCTGAGTTCTTGGTTGTCTGGTTTGGAAAACCTGTTGACTTTTGAAATAGTGGAATAAGACTCCAGTGTCTTAGAAAATCATATATGAAGATGAATAAGTTTTATAGTTTGTAATTAAAGACTTATGGTAATAATTTCTTTAACTATCTAAAATTGATGACAGTGGCTGGTAACTTAAATGATCTAAGTCATCTATATAATAATCCATAGTAAAAGCCAAGTGTTGTGACCTTGTCATTTCATGAGTAATATTTATATTGAAAAGATTTGGCCTCAGAGGAAAGATTTTGATAAATTAAGGGCAGTGTTTAAAAAATTTAGAAATGAAATTTGAACCTGAACACTACTATCTAGCAGAGAAGATCATAAAGTGAAGTATTATCCAGTTTACTTGTTGGGAAATTTGTCTTTTTTAAATACTTAAGTAGAAGAAATGAACAAGTTGTTATTTGTAACATTACTTACATGTGGTGGCCTGAATCTTAAAATACTTCGTCCTTTATCTCTCCAAATTCAGGGAATCTTTGGAAAGCAAAAACTGAAATCATTTGGAAAACAAAGCAGCAGAGATGATACTTGAATAATTAGGGTTAAGTTGTAATTAAAAACAGGTAATTTGTTCAACTGAGTATGAGGGTAACCAAGCCAGGGCTCCTGTGCCTGTGGCCCTGAAAGCCAAACTGAAAGCTGGTGTTTGCAGCACAATGAAGGTTTATCTGGGGCTTTCCAGGTGGCGCTGGGGGTAAGGAACCTGCTTGCCAGTGCAGGAGACATAAGAGACGTGGGTTCGATCCCTGGGTCGGGAAGATCCCCTGGAGGAGGGCATAGCAACCCACTTCAGTATTCTTGCCTGGAGTATCCCATGGACAGAGGAGTCCGGCAGGCTACAGCCCATGGGGTCACAAAGAATCGGAGGCGACTGAAGCAGCTCAGCAAGCAAGCAGCAGACGGGTGTGGGAGACAAGTCTCAGATCCACTCTGACTTTGTGTTTAGAGTTTTTCTGTGTTTTGTTTTTTAAAAGAGGCTGGGATTAATCATTACCTAGTGACATTTCCTAATCATAGTTTTGGGAGTCAGGGTGTCTGGTTTACTGTTCTCAGGCCACGTGGTCCGTGGCACAGGGGTCTGTGAGCTCTCCTTGCCCTGGAGAAGCAACTTGAATTTGTACGTTAATGACACTGACAACAGCAGTTTCAGTATATTAATGATGTTAACAATAGCAATTGTAGACTTCTGATTCTGGTTGATTGGTGTTCAGTTAGCACAGGATTGAGGTAGAAGGGACCAGAAAAGGAATAAAGTTTTGAATAAGGAGATTAATCATAAACTCAAGAAGGGAGCTTGGTTTTAGGGAGTCTTGGTGTCATCAGGGAGGCAGTCTGCTTTCTGATGTTGATGTTTGTTTAACATCTTCCTCTTCTTAACCAGTTATTTTCAGTAATATATAATAATGTGTGTTGAGTTGGTGGTATATTTTTATACTTGTCATGCTTAAGTCTCTGCACGAGAGTATGATTAATTCCTGACCACCCCCTTCCACCCCGCCCCCGCCCTTAGATTTTAGAATCTGAGAGGCAGGGACTGTGGGTCCTCCTTTTTTGCTTTTTGCCCTCAGTAATTGGCACATGGATCAGATATCAGTTCTTCTAAACTTAAAAGCTTGGAAAATCCCTGAAATACAGTCGGACTTTGCAGTCCCTAAAAATACTCCAGACCATAGATTCCTTAGTCTAGTGGGTTTTTAAGACTACCCATTACCTGGCCCATCCCCTAACTTATCTTTTTCATCTCCTGATCAAGAGCTGGGTATTCCCTTCCCTCATTCTCTCCAGTTATAGTCCCATGCAAGTAAATTACTGTGATTTCACTAGGTCTCTATCGGGTGAGTTTAGCCAATTTAGTAGGTAAGTCTCTCTTGCCTGCCATTGTCATGTGATACTTTTGTATTCCTTCCAAGAACAAAGAGTCCTGTGAAAGTAGAGTTTCAAGTTGTTTGAAGATCTCTGTAGCAAGTAATGAGAAGAAGAAGGCTAACAAAGGTGATCAGGTCTATCATTTTCCTGAATGTCACCAGGGAGTTTATTACACTTACCAAGCTGAACCTCCAGAGAGTCACTAAACCTGTTTGAGAATGCCAGAGTGATAAACTTGGCACTTTGACCAGAGTGAAAATGAAAGTAGTGCTAGGTATTTTTGTGTGTTTTGTTTTTTTTTTTTTTTTTTAGAGCAGGGCAAGTAGTATAAAGCAGAGAAACAGATGAACTTAGTCATAAAAGTTCTAAAAGGAAATCTGTAGGCCTAACTGGAGCAAAGTCTCCAGATTGGAGTTGGCAGTGAGCTGTGTGCTCAGTCACGTCCGCCTCTTTGTGACCCCATGTACTGTGGCCTGCCAGACTCCTCTGTCCATGGGATTTTTCGGGCGAGCATGCTGGAGTGAGTTGCCATTTCCTTCTCCAGGGAATCTTCCCGACCCAGGGGTGGAAAATGCATCTCCTGTGTCTCTTACATTGCAGGCAGATTCTTTACCTGCTGAGCCATCCAGGAAGCCCAGGGGCAACCTTAAAGAACTCGTCCTCTAGCCATGTAAGAGATGGCAGGTGCAGCTGGAGGATGGAACCTAAAAGCATGCCCTAGTCTTATTTGGAGGAAAAACCAGAGAGGATGGTTTCCTGGAATTAGAAATTCAGCCTCTGTACTCTGAGCTGTTTCCTCCAACCTCACACCAGCCTCCATTGTCTCCTGCTTCGTGTTTTTTTTTCCCTTGTTCTTCCTTTCTGTGCAATGTTAAGGTTCCTATAAAGGGTCAAACGTGAGATCTCAGAGACTCAAACCTAGACTTGAAGTCTAGCTCCTCCTTTGTACTTACTAGAATGTAGCATTGAGTAAAGTAGTAGACATCTGTGAATCTCACTTTCCTCATCTGCAAAATGGGGATAATACTGGTGCCTGTTTCATAGTATTGTTGTAAAGGGTAAATGAGAATACTTACTCTATGTAAAGCAGATGGTGCAGTGCCCTTGTATATAAATGCTTGATAACTTATTGTTACTAGTCCAGTAGTCATGTATGGATGTGCGAGTTGGACTATAAAGAAAGCTGAGCACAGAAGAATTGATGCTTTTGCACTGTGGTGTTGGAGAAGACTCCTGAGAGTCCCTTGGAATGCAGGGAGATCCAACCAGTCCATCCTAAAGGAGATCAGTCCTGGGTGTTCATTGGAAGGACTGATGTTGAAATTGAAACTCCAATACTTTGGCCACCTGATGCGAAGAGCTGACTCATTGGAAAAGACCCTGATGCTGGGAAAGATTGAGGGCAGGAGGAGAAGGGGACGACAGAGGATGAGATGGCTGGATGGCATCACCGACTCAATGGACATGAGTTTGGGTAAACTCCGGGAGTTGGTGATGGACAGGGAGGCCTGGCGTGCTGCAGTTCATGGGGTCACAAAGAGTTGGACATGACTGAGAGACTGAACTGAACTGAACTAGTGATACTGTTAGCCTTAGTAGCATTATGTACCTATCACTTTAGCTAATTGACAATATAAGGCTTAGTAAGAAAAAATTAATAGCTGGGTGACTCCATCTTCAGAAAACTGAGATTACCTTTGCTACTGCAATTGAGTGTTGAGCTTCAAAATTTTCTGTTTATTTTTGTTGGTTGAGGAAATTTCTTTTGGTTTCAGAAAAAATTATTGAAAAATT